ACACTGTAGTGAGTTGTGACACTAGGCAACTGCAGTGACAAAGCCGACTGACTGAGTTTTAACATGGAACTCGGTGGAGAAGTGCAACTTTTGAAATGTAACGGGACAGAGTGTAAAAGTTATCTCGAGTAAGAGGAGAAATTATTGTAAGACAACTCTTTTTCAGTTAGACGAGAACCGAATAAAAAATGCGATTATCATTTGTTGACATTTTGCTTATTTTTATCCACGTCTTAGCGTTTCATTATACCCGGACCATAGATCATTCTGGCAGACTGACTTTCAACAGAGAAGCTTGCAAACAAGCGCACCTGTTTACGCTATCACATTCCATGTAGCACACAAAGGTAGAGAAAAAAGAAATCAAATGGAACTCTAATGAGCATAAATGTCATAGAAACGAACAGTGATATGGAAAGAACACAAAAGCTGCTCAGATATGTAAGATTCCACAGTGTGAATGCATCTGTGTTATTAACGACGACTGAAGTCACATTTCTACTTAACACTAAGCTTAACCCCAAAATTACTCAGGAGAAAGGGAACAGACACTATGATCAAAAACCAGTAGTCTTTTCAGATTTTCCAGTTTCAATGGTCACTTCTCACAACCTAGGTGGACAATGTCATTAGCATACACTAAGTTGACAAGACTTTTCCCTGGTAAGTCCCTGAAGTGAGTGACATTCAATTCTATTAATACATGTATGATGAAAGTGAACTAAAATAAGGACGACAGTTGTAGAAATGAGCCTTGTATTATATCCTTCTTGGAAATATCAGTTCCCTCACAGTTTAGTTTCAGTATTAAGTGAATGGAATGCAATCTACACATTCATGAAATTCACATACTGACGTACCACTTTTCTGGAATCATAGTTAAAGTGTCCTCAGTAAAGTGAGCAATGGGTATTGTACTTGTGTAAAATCAATAGGCTGTTAACCGCTGCCAATGAAAACGACAGAAATTCTTGGAATTATCAGTTTTAATTTCAGCTGGATCACATGCAACACTCAGCAGTTGTTGAATGGTCACTTCATGAACATGGAATCCATACAGAAGGCGCAGAAGATTTTGTACAACATGCACACTCCTGATTTCACTATGCAGCATGCACGCCAAATGCATTACTTTAGAGGCCTGCACAGTTCACAAATTAGCTCACAACACTGAAGTGGAGAAATTTATATTTGTCCTTACTGAGCTTAACATAGCGGTTCTTGTGAAGTAACTTTCTTATGCAGAAGAGAAGAGTAAGGTATTCATAATCTTTTGCTACATGTGGAATCGTAGTGTAACTCAATGTGCAACAGTATATATATGAATAAACTCAAAAATAAAGTCCTCCTGGTGACAGACTGTGACATGACAGGAAGCAAGACGGTCAGATAACCAGCGTATTTGACAAAGTTGCTCTCATTAGAAAGAGAAAAGTCATGTAAGACGAGAGAGAAAAAAGTAAAGGAGAGATAACGGTACCCTGAGGAACACAACCTTCAGCAAGCAAGGCGGAAGATTTACCCTAATATACAGTATGCTGTATACCATTTGAGAAATGATAATGCAACCACTCACCTGCACAGGACTCGTGTTTGCACGACCGAGACCTTACTGAGCTAATGTCATCTAGGTCCTTAGTCAACAACGGCATACGCTGAATAACTGAAAGTTTAACACAAAAGTGATGAAGCACAAAAAACACTTGCAAAGTAGGAGACGAATCCCGGGTGGAAGAAGAGATTACTGAAAGGTATCTATTTGTCATTTAGCAAAGAACAAGATTAAGAACTGCAATTATCATTCGTTGACATTCTGGAGATCATTATTCACTGTATCGCATTTAGTTATGCCTAGCCTGTGTCATTCTGCCTGGCTTTCAGTATGATTCCGCAAAGAAGTCCAACTGTTTAGTTTACCACATTCTATGCACCGCACAAAGGTAGAGACATAAAACTAAATGGAAGTTTAACGAGCGAAAATTTGAGGGAAAATAAATGGTGACAACATGAGTTGAATAGATACGTGAGATTACACAGAGTGAATGCATCTATGCCATGAACAAAGACTTGCAGATATACATCCAGTAGTTCTTCTAGCCGACTGTCAACGATTTTATGAGCCAATACCATTTTTTCATTTGACCGACCCAAACACATTTGGAACCTTAACATGTGCTGGCTAACATTATCCCTCAAGGAAGGCGATCGCTTGGTATACTATCACGTGTTATAGCCATCTCAACCTATTCAGCTTCCCTACCCTGAAGACTAACTTACCCTCCTCAACTAACACTTTATTCGTAACCTCAACAGCAATCGCCATATTATACTGCTTTACTCATGAGATAGAACACAGACACCTATAATCAAACACCGGTATTCTTTTCATATCTTCCAGGATCAGGGTTTACTTCCCATAGTTTAGGTGTATAGTATAATCAGCAAACTGTAAGTTGATGATGATGATAAGTCTCTAAAGTCATTTATAGACTATCCTACTGATATATGTGTGATTGCATTGAAATGATATAAGGATGACAGTTTAAGAATTCAGCCTTGTGTTACATCCCAATTGGAAATGTGTTTTCTCGGATAATTCGCAAACAGTAAACACTGAATAGATAACATTCTGTAGAATTTATGAAACTCATTAACTGACGTAATACTTTTGCAGGCATTATTGTGTTTCCTCAATAAAGCGAGATTTGTATATTTTGGCTGCATAAAACGAGTAAGTGGTATCCTGGCAATACCAATGACTACAACAAGTCTTGGAATCATGCACCGAAACTTTTAGTTTACTGAATACTCCAGCAGATTTGAAATATACACTTGACAAATATCAAATTTATACAGGAAGTCAGTAAGATTTACTAAACTAAAAGCACTTTCGGTTTACATAGGAGTTCTCCATGCCACACTTATTCCTTTAAGGGCCTACACAGATTACAGTTTAAATTAAATAACACTGACATGGAAGAAATTCCATTCTTGATTACTAAACTTAATGATAATAATGTCTTTTATTCTAAAAGCAGGGGCATTCGTAATGTTTCACTTTATGTAAATGCAGTTACATACGGTTGCACTAAGAACTCAATGCAACTCGGTGCACAATAGTATATACACAAATAAGCTGAAAAATAACGTCCTCCTTACCTTCTGAACAACTTATCCTTATTACAGGATAATAAATTTCTTTCACGTATGAGCCTGAATTATGTCTATGAAATCACAAAATTACATCAGTTAAATGTTCCCCCAAAACCAAGGCCACTTGAAACCAATAGCAACATAGCAACAAGCGTCATTGGGGGCATATGCAGTAAAGTCGCTCTAGATATATGCTCATTTCTCAACCAAATTATCCGCGACAGATTTACCGATGTCGCAGACCAGCGCTGTCACGGGTCACACCAGGCTACCAGGCTGTATTCTCCGACTAAACTAGCTTCCTGACACTTCAGTTTGGCCATCTGATCAGACACTTTCTGTTCATGCTCGACACATCCTAGCCCTCGAGGCGTATCAATCCTCATTCGTTGCTACTGGTCTAGAGCATCGCTAACGCCACCCCAACAAATATACGAAAACAGAGGATAAGAAAGCAACTTCAGAATTGAACATGGTGGAACTTTTGATGTAATTTATGCTGTGGAGCAAAACACAGAAACAAAGAACATGTGGTATGCTCTACTAACAGTAATTAATAAGCAATACATTGCGTGGTGTCTTCTGCAAGAATCCTGAATAACGAGGCTAGGGTGCAATCAAGTGCAATCAAGAAAAGAGGTTGCAGTGAAAAGAAAAAGAAAGTATGATAAAAAGATGAAAATGAGGGATAAAAACAGAATTCGCATATTTAAATTCCAAAGTAAAGCTTTTGGATTCCGTAATCACTACTGCATTCTGTCAAATTGAAAGTCCGGCTACAAAATATCATTGCGTACTGCCGCTGCGCCACTTGTTGGATCCCAACACCACGGGCATGCATATACGACATACAGGTGACCCACAAACAAAAAGGATCACAAAAGTTCAGTAAACATGTAGACACATTTTAGCTAACTGAGCAAAATGAAGTCAGAACTGCTAATTTATACACATACCTCGTGTACGCTGATAGCGCGATTAACTCTGTGAATAATACCATGATACAATACTCTACAAACAGTGCAGGACCTAGAGCAATACTCTAGCAAACCCACTAGGTATGACGATCATGTATCTGAAAATTTCCTCTAGAGCGCCTTCTACCACTCTTCCATGCAAACACAAATTTCTAAATTCTCGCACCAACTTGCGATTCCTCATCCCCACCTTAACAGTATTCGCTGGTCCATCATTAGTAACTAGTCCTCTTCAAACCACCCTTCATGGTCAACTTTGTCTGTCGCCAACACTATATCATCAACATTCAGGTTCCTACACAGCCTCCGCCGCCTGTCTCTTTCCTAAAATGTTGGCACCGCGAGTTAGGTCAGGCTGGGGAACTTCAGTATATGCTCACTCCATTAACATTCGGCGTTTGTTAGAATGTTTGGAATTTTCACCGATGGAAATTACATCAGCAGAACGCCTGTTAACGTTTAGAATTTTCTCCATTGACAAGGCGAAGATTCTACGACATAAACGACTCTACCTGCCCCAATTACATGGGAAACATGGGCTACAGCAGCCCCTATAGCAGAGGCCAAGTATGAGACACGGGAGGCTAGTCTTGTGTATATGTGGTCACACTAGTTGCTAGCTTGGATCTGAGTGGACTCGAAAATCTGCATTCAATCCTTATACCGACATCATCTGCAAAGCTCATACGCTTCTCATTGTAAACCAATTTACCAATAATTACATTTCCCTTCACAACACAATCCTGATTGCTTTACATCAAAATATATCAATGTTTCTCCTCTTTGACCACCACTACCACATGAAGCACCTCTAATAACTTCCGCCACCCACTGATTAGTCATTGAAATTTTTGTTTAGCCACATTGGGTGTTTTCTATGGCGGGTTGGTTGTTACCTTGGGGACTTGTCCTCCGTTGATGTTTCGCGTGTCATTTCTATCATGTTGGATAACATCGAGAGGCTAGACCCACAATGTGGAGATCCTAACTCTTCGAAAAAAGATGCGTCCGATCTGGTTTCAGATGCCCGGAAAGCAAGAAAAGCTGTTTTTAGACGTACAATTGATTACAATGCTTCTGCCATCAACTACCTTCAAAACAGAATTTGGATTTCGAGGGATTCAGATCGTCCAATGCTCCAGCCAGACTACCTTTGGAGTCCAAAGGTAAGGTGAATCAAAAGTAAATCAGTACGTTAGCTTTGTCCTCCGAGAAGCTATATGGATTCCCCAATGAATTGTGTCATGTCAAAACCTGTTCGAACATCAACTAATAAAAATAAGTGCCCGATATATTGCGTCTGTGTAAGTTGCTTATTTCTTTTATTGTACCTAAGTGGACTCCTGAAGGTAGGCGGTTAATAACTGGGGCTTTCAGTGGTGAATTCACGTTATGGAATGGCTTGACATTTAATTTCGAAACAATCTTACAAGTGAGTATATTATTTGTAATTCAGTGTACACCTCTCTCGTTTTCGGGCTTCTAAGTATCTATGTATTTTACGGTGGAATTATGTTTTATCAGTGTCCCGACTTTTTCGCATCATTAATACCGATTGTTTGTACATGAGACAGTAAAATACTACTGTTGTGTTTTATATTCAAAGCAGACCATGCAATATGAAATTGTGGCAGAAATTATCCGACCATAGTGTGCTTCATTTCGTACGCAATCAACAGTTGTTTTTATAAATATTACAACTGACGCTTTGTCACAATAATCTATCACGTATCTATCGAGCTTTATTACACCGTGCACTACAAACGCTTTTACCAGTGCTCCTCACGGAGAGTGATGAGCTAGTCGTTAATTTTTCTCTACCAAGCTGATAGTGTTATAGATAACCATCGTTAATTAGTGGTGGAACCAATCACACTTTTCTTATACGTTCGTGAATGCTGCCAAACATGTTTAATCTCTACTTAAGCAGTGAAAACCGAAATCGTACGCTTCATACGTTAATTCTCAGTCCACATCTATACCACTTCACAAGTCTAATTAAGTTGTTCCCGTCTTTTGGCTAAGACTTGAGTGCCGGAGACTCATATGACAACTCAGGAACGTTGTTTTGTACTTAAAACGTATTCCGGAACTTAAAAACGACTCCCAGCTTAGTTTACATCTCTCGTCACGTACCCAAAACGATAAAATAAGGTTATAAAACCATTCATTTTCAATCTCCTTCAGCCAGAGGTAGTAAGCTAATAGGGCCAAGTTAAACTTTAAGCACCACTAGCTATCAATGGAGTGTGGCCGCACAGATGATCTTGAAACTCTCACTGAGTAAGCTAGCTAATAGTATTCTGCGTTGATCGTTGCAGTGCACATCGCCTTGGAGATCAGTGCCATCCACTCGTTTATCGCGTGCCTGTACAATTTTTGGTTCGATGTCTTGATAATTTCTTGCACGTGAGTCGAATGATCTGAACGGCTCATTTCTTCTAACACTAACTTTTGGTCAGTGATGAATAGGTACAAATCATCCGCATTCCAAATGGGTAGGTCCAGTGACACCCTACTCAACTGCACTGTGAATGCCCTGAGAAGTTTGAATTCAACCTCACTGACTTCCCACCAGAAAAGTAGCTGGTTGGCAGGAATGAATGTTAATACTGCCCTGTTCTTATGAAGTTAATAAGATGTAGGTTTTTCTGAAAATAATAAACAAATTTGGATATATTTGGCTTTCCTTTAACTCCTACCAGTTGTCAGAAAACTGATTTCAACCAATTCCTAATTTAGCCGGTGGTAATTGAAGTGATCAACGAGCTAACAGACTTATCTATTTGGAAATTAAATTAGCTCTTATGAACTGTTTTCTGAGGGTTATCGTCGACATATAAGTAATTAATCTTATCATTTCATAAGATGGAAACCGGATTTCCATGTGAAAACCAGAGTGGAATTAGTTTGACAAACTTTTCATCTAAGATTCTAGGTTGGCATATAATGGGGCTTCTGAATTACAGATTCCTCTTCGTAAGTTTGAAAGGAGGAGGAGCAGGCAGAGCAGAATTACATGTACCTTTTGGTTTGTGATTTCTCTTCAGCCACTTGAAATTGTAACGTTTAGTGCGATCTATAAAGCAATGTTAACATATCCGTTTATCAATAGGAATCTCCCCTAGCAAATAATGTTGCGACGCCGTAGTGATTAGTCCTCATAAGACCGAAGCTTCTTGTAAAATATTGTTGTAAGGTGTAACAATCTTAGAAATAACGTAATTCTTGAGCAGTGTAATAAGCCAATAACAATTGCTTAACAAGGCAATAGAATACAATGAGTGGATTGGAATTTAGAGTTCAATAGGGATGTCAACGGCAGACGGGAAAACTAAATGATGCAAATAAAAAGAAGGGAGTTACTAAGTTTTTTGAATCCAAGGATAGATTCCTTCTAGACATAAATCATATTCAAACGGTTTTGTTGAGATAAACTCAGCAAATCGAAGAAGACATTGACTTCTCCGTTTGTTAATTATTGTAAACGTGTCCTGTGTCTATCAGGTGTTTGGTGACTGAGGAAATGAGACTATTCGTTCACTGTGATCGAAGGCTCTTTGGTACATGTTCAAAGAAGTCGTATTAAATGTTACAAGTTCTATGTGGCTCAAGAAGATTGGCGAGATGGGATGGTTTATTTGCTCCAAGGCTTTGACTGAGTGCAAGTTTCTGAATAACCTAATGCAAAAGTTTGTTTAGCATGCTATTCGCCCCTGTTGAATGCGGGATGATGCTACTTAATTAGTCTGCACCAACTCCTAGTTTTAGCGTAAGGAAGTGAAATGGTCGAATATGTAGACCACTTCACTTATTTGCGAATTCGCGCTTCGGATATGGAAGTTTTGTTTAGCAGTTGCTAGTTCTCGTCATTTCCGGTGTAGGTGAATGGACGTGTACTGCTCAGGAATTCTCTTCACCGTAATTTAGGCTACAAGACACATTCAGAAAGCGAGTCATGACCACACTAATCAGCAATGAGTAAAATCCACTGTTTGAAGCAGATAAATTGTTTTTTTTTCAGAAAGCACTTTTATCAAGTGTTTTTTATTTGTAGTAATTATCTTAGTATTCTCTAGTCACTTTCATTCGGAAGTTTCTGGTTGACAGTACATCTGTTACTACGTGGTCTAGAGTTTAAGGCGTTATGATCTTATTTTGGCACGATCTTTTGGCAACTTCATGTCGTGTCTTTAAAGAAATTGTTTGTAATTAATGATGATCAAATGTGTTTCAAGATAATGTTTCTGAAAGTTGCTTATTAAGATATATTGTTCACTACAGGCCCATGAATCGCAAATACGTTGTATGAAATGGTCCCACAACGAGGAGTGGTTACTCACAGCCGATCATTCTGGATATGTAAAGTATTGGCAAGCTAATATGAACAACGTTGAAATGTACCAAGCACATAAAGAACCGATTCGTGGCGTAAGGTACGCTTTTCCTGATTTGGGACCCTGTTGTTCAGTTCCAGCAACTTTTACCCAACTTGAAACTTTTCCTACATGTGACAAGTATCTAGATTTTCTTTTACTATTGTACCATTTTTTGTTAAGCACAAAATACACCAGTTATAAAATTGTAGGTCCAATAAAGGTCTTGTATGTATTGCTCATAGTTTGGTTGGTTGCACTTTGATGTGATTTTTTTGGGGGGGGGGTCGACGTAAGGCTTGACGAAACTAGAAAAAAAGGTGACTAAATAGAGGGTTGTCAGTTAATAACTTTTATTACAGTATACACAGTAATTGTTCCAGTCATCTTTGGATCTAGGTGGATGGTAGTATCATTACGCGAATTATTTCAGTAAGCTTTGAAAGAATAATATTGGATAATAAGAAGTGAGTACTGTATGTAGTGCAGAATTTCATGAGAACATTAATTCTTTTGCACAAGCACATGTTTGTCTTCATGCTAGCCGTGTGTAGCCTTGTTTTGCGTCTATAATCCTTTGGTGTTTCGCTTACCTCACAGAAATTTATACCACCATGCACATTTGTCAACGATTTTAAATCAAGTAATATAACAGTACCAACGCTTATGTTCTTAGTAGGTTTTCAAGACTTACTTTTTTGAGCTGTACATGTCGGAATTTTTGAAAAACACAAGCGGTCCGGTAAAGAGCACTTGCGTTTCGAAAAATAAATTATATGGAAATGGTTGTTCTTTATAACTTGGTGTTCGAAATGACCCAGATATTTAAGTTATCTTCTAGTTGCAGTATGCGTTGGAATTTACAAAATTTCAAATCCATTTATCCCAACCACTATGCTGTGTTGTATTCTGTCGATGAGCAAATATATGAGGTGCTTCTGGATTGGCTGTTTTATATGGAAAGGTAACTGAGGTTTCTCAGAGTAGTGGAAATATATGATACCTTTCCCAGCCTCAGTACAAGCATAGTATACTAATGTTCTAATTAGTGGTGATTTTACGAAATAAAGAAAGGCATCTTATTTAGTTACGAACCATGCGTTTAATTAGATTTCACTTTCCTTGGCTTACATAACATTTTTAGTAAAAAAACGGTGTGATCCGGTAAAACTTCATATTTTAAATTATGAAGCCAATCATGATGTGAGGGGGGGGTTAGGATAATACCGGTTACCCATATCGAAATAGATTGGAGTTTCATCTTGCATCTATTGCATTAAAGCCGAGTACCTAATCCAGTTGATGCACCACACCTCAGGATGGTCGGGGGTGGGTGCCTTGCGCTGCGGGTTGGCCACCCCTCCGCACACCTCTTGAAATGCTCCCATATGACCGGGCGTCTTACATAGCCTCTCCTGAGGAAGTCCTACTCACTGCCTTCACGTGGCGGAGGTGTTTTTCACCAAAGTGAGAGGGCGAAAGCGGATGCCCGGCGCTCTTCACCGGGTTGACTGTCCATTGGATGACAGTCTAGGGGAGATGGCTAAACCCTGATTCCAAACCTCCAACGACTGGCGTATGAAGCTCACTGGAGCTCACCGGAAAACGTATGGACAAAGGGCTTGTTGGATGTCCTGGATGTCTGGCCCCATTCAAAAAGGCGTATGAACCGAACTCCGGTCACCGGCTGCCGATGGATAGTGGACTCCCTACTCCACTCCTACTGCCTTGTAGGTCACACTTGGTTGAGTAAAGGCTAGAGCTGCACTCTCAAACAAAAGGCCGAGCGATTCTGGGGACATCACTCGTACCAAATTCCCATGAAACTTCATGAACTCTCTTATAAACGACGCAAAACCTTGCATCAGATCGCCGCGCCTGGGCAGCGATGATTCGAGATGTTCATGAAGCCGGCTCATCCTCCCGTAGGAGATAGCCGAAGTAAAGAAAGAAGATCACACCTTCGCCCTTTATTTTCTTTATTCCCAAGCCAATCAGTGTGCCATTTGTTTTTTTGGATCCAACACGTAATCGTTCCTGTTTCGGGCCATTGCTACATTCATCTATTTTTATTTATTCAAACACAAACTTGGTAAATTATGGGCATTAAGGGATGCGCGACACAAAATCTCGTACTTTGTGAGAGGGTCGGGATTACTACCCGGACGCCCAGACCAAAGCAGGTGGTCGTCTTAAGGTGTTATCCCCTAAATCGTCAAGAGCTACGTTCCCATAGTTTCCAGTGACCAAAGCAGATTCACACATCTTTCGATCCAACCAGGTTCTGGAGCCCATGCACATCATAGGTTTAAAATTAGGGTTTTCTAGCTCCCCCTAGGTAGCTTCTCATGTCCACCAGACCGTTCGTAAGCACCAGACGTTCGCATTCATCCTTGCTTTTTGTGAGAAACATCCCTACCGCCCGGAGGTAGTGAATAGGACTCATTTGATGGGGTTTATGAACGCGTGAAGGACATGAGATAGGAGTCCACTCACCTTCGACAGTAGCAGATTGTCTATAGGAACAACTTCATCCATATTTGAAGCATTTTTATGTGTGGTGTTTTTGTACAGCTTGTATGAGTGCTTTTCATACTTCGCTAGTCTCGTTAACTGTTTTATTCAACCAGTGAATCTAAAACTGGCTTATTGAAACGACGTTTACATAACTATGTGATATGAAAGACTGCACCTTAAGCAATAAAAAATGCTAACATGTGATCAGTTCCATCGCTGAGATAGATGCCACCAATTGAAAATTAGTTTAGATATTTTAACAAAGCATCACACCTCTCGTTGAACCAGAATATCTATATCTTGGAAAGACAGTTTGTTGGGTTTTCTTTTGATGAAATAAATTGTAATATCTTAGTCTTGTTTTTTTTTTAACAGTAAGCTATATAATACTTATGTGAAGCAGGGAGCAGATGGGTGATATTCGTCAAATAAAATATATGGTCAAAAAGAATTCATTACTTTTACGTTACTCCGTAGTAAGATTAACACCACAGGAATTCAGTTGTACCGATATTTACTAGTGTTTATTTACATTTAGAAGGCCATTCCAGATGCTACCAATGCATATGGTCGCAGAATCCCCCCTCCATGAATTTGATCATCGCTAGTGTGAAGCAAGAAAAATCCATGATTATATTCATTTACATTCCCGTGAATCAGTCTGTCACCCTTGTTATTTTGTAGGTGAACAAAAATTAGCATCGTTTTTAATTTGATAACAAACAGTTGAAAGTTTATTATCTACTTGACAAACCCATATATTTATCATCTTCACCAGCGTGTTTATGAATATCGAAAAATTATAAGGGTTTCGAGTTCTTCAGAGGGATGAATGGCTTGGTATAGCGCATGGTTGAAACTTCTCCTCCACTATGCATTGTCACCCAAATGGCGCTGGGTTAACTACAGTGTTGTTTGGTTGGTTGATGACTGAAATACTCTGCTCACTTAAGGTCTATGTGTAAATAATATAAAACAAAGTGAGCGGTAGCATTACTTACTAGGAGCTGTCTCAAAACCAACTTATTATCCAGGATATCAGTGTGATCTGACGTATGATCAGATCAAATATGTTTATGGATAGTAAATTGCTCTTGAAATGTCTTCCAGTAAATCATTGTCGGTTTAACAAAGTAGATATGCGTAATACAGGATTACAGTATATATACTAAAATGCCGAAACACGTGAATTATGTTAGATTTGTCGTACGTAAACTGTGAAAATAGATATTCAATCACCCACATTCGATAATGATACCTTGGTAGTGGGAAGATCCGAGCCTGTGGTCAGATGCCTGAGGTTAAATAGTTGAACTGGTAAGCCACAGGTCGGCTTAGAATTAAATAAAATATATATATGTTACTATTTACGTGCAAAGTGTATGACAATTACTTAGCTGAAGTTATCATTTATTTTCAAACTGGACATTAAGAGGATTCCTTATGCTAGGTGGACTGTTGTATTCCTAGCCTAAGGGTTGACAGTTTTTACTAATTCTACTGACGTATTTTTCAGCACGAGCATTTATAAACAGAAAGTTTAGGAAGCAAAAATCCTTTTTTTTACGATACTATCTTTTGTCATTTGTAGTTTCTGCCCGTTCGACAATAAATTCGTTACCTGCAGTGATGATTCTACTGTGCGTGTTTGGGATTTTCATCGTTGTGCTGAAGAGCGTGTGCTCCGAGGTGAGTACGGTTAACATTGTCTTACTCGATACAAGTCACAACATGAATGGACTTCGTGTCGGTGAGATTTCAATTGTTTGCGTTATAGATATTGATATTGAAAGGTTTATCAGGGAAATGGTTTACAAATTTCTTTTTTAGCATATAAGTTAGATAAGACATCAAGTATTTTAAGTACTTCTTAATGAAAGGTTGTACTTAAAAATTTTCGATATGAGTATGGGAAGCGATTGGTTTTGATTTTCTGGATAAGACATTGACTAATTTTCGTTTAACATATTTACTCACGGGTTTTCATATATTATTTAATGCATGTTTCCCCTGATTACGAATACAATTCAAGCACTGTGTTAAAGTATAATTCTGTGTTGTTTTGTTTATTTCGTAAAGTGTATAGTGTAAATATTACTGTAACTCTATGTACTTTACCAAATAAACAAACTAACATGAAATCAATCCGCTTTTTTTTAAAAAAAATTCAACCGAAATAAATTTCGTTCGATTTGAAAATAATATAGTAGTTGTGTGTCCATCCATCTTTTTGGGAAGAAATTTTCACATCTTGTAATTGTCGTAAGATGTGTAAAGCAGCTACAGTATTTAAGAGTATTTGAGATGTCACATTTGGCTGTAAACTCCAATCGATGTACAATGTCAACTTTGTTCGTAGCTGTGCTTGTGTTTTGTCACACTTGTCGTGTTTTACATTCACATTTGTAATCAAGTGAAATCAAAATAAGTCAGGATTTCAGTTCTTGAGTTAAAATTTAGCAGCAAAAAGAAATAGGGATCTTCATACGAAATGTCAACTGAAAGAAGAATGAGATTGTCGGAAGAAAATTGTTTTGTTTTGGCTGGCGTAATTACAGTATGTACGCATCTTTTTTTATTTAAAAAAAATTTCGGAATGGATTTCTTCATTGTTGTGTTAATTACAGAAATAAAGCATGACAAACCTACCATTTATCACTGGTATTTACAAAGAGAATAGTTGAATTTATCGACATCATGAATCTGTTGATAGTTGCATTGGTTTCTTAATTTGTAGAAAAACCATCATATAACTCTAATAAATTGATGACTATTAATTTCTCCTTTTGAAAATGACCTCATTTTAATAAAAGTTATGCGTTAGTTTGTGTCTTTGAAAATGGTTTTCATCAAGTTTCAATTTAAAAATATTTTTGTTGCTAATTTTAGGGAACCATTTTACCTAACAATCCCTTATGCATAAGTATTGTCAACGATCGTTTGAAATGTTTGGTTTAATTTTATACACTGTCATTGAGTTAAAATTATGCAAGTGCAGTTATCTTTCAGATGAACTTTTCCAATTCATAAATTGCATCATTTTTTATCCTTGACCTTCTTATGTCTCTCTGTTGATTCTATACTACCTGTTTAATTATATCTTTCAAAAGACTGAGATTAGTGAACAGAATATTATATAGTTGGAGGCAATCGGCAGGAAGCCTTGGAGCTTGGTTTCATGCTTGTCGACGCCCACCAATCAGCAAGGCGTATCTGTGCGTCGGTGGCACAGCGGTTAGGACTCTTGCCGACCATGCACATGTTCCTGGGTTCTATCCCCTGCCGACGTACACCTGATTTCAGTGGTCGGCCTGTAAAATTTGGGCTACTGATGTTATATGCTGAAAGTTCCATACGTCTACCAAAAGTACTGTGTGGAATCAAGCTATAATAAAAAAACCTTGAAGGAACTCATGTCCCTTCTGAGATCCGAACCCCAATCATTCAGTGGTGCAGTCAAAGGCGTGACTACTAAGCCATTCGGACTTGCTATTAACCTCCTGTAGGACTATAGTGGATACTATGGTTGAACACTAAGTGGTAATTAGCTAGTGTCATATGCGTCTAATCCTTTATTTGGATAGAATATTCTTCCCGATAAACGTCATCAGGCTGTACAGTAATATCCATAATAGTTAAATAATTACTGTTATTAACAACATAAGTGTTAAATAGCATCGAATCATTAAGGTCAATAGATATTACTGTTCATGACATGTCTATGCGGTTATATGCGTAAATATAACACTAAAATGAATATCAGATATAAATAAGAAAAATAATATGGAATTTATAGGTTCTGCAGCAGCCCAGGGTAGCGATAGTGGCTAGACTTGTTGCTTTCACATACAAAGTCCCGGTGTAACGGTAGAAGACAAGAGACTTGGTCGAGGAATGTTTATTTGCGATTTGGTATCTCTATATAGCGAAATTATGTACACCTTATCTTCAAATCATCATTTACACAGATCTTCCGTGTTGTGCTGCTTCAGCATTTCCTTCATATTGTTTCTTTGTGTTCCTTTCGCGTCTCCCATGTATCTCTGCAAGGCTGTATCATTTGCTTTCTCTAACATCAAATCTATCTTCCCAGTATTTTTTATGCCGATAATGCCTCCTCATATACTACTGATAAATCTTATCAGTAGCACACGCCACACCGATTGTTTTTCGTGAATTGCAATGTCTTCTGCTGTTCGGAATGTAAGGGCCTTTAGCAATCTATTTGATACACGATAGATGTTAGGAAATGATTTTTCAATGCTGGTTTTTTCTGGCCTGTTTGGATCAGGTAATCTAGTATCGAATTGGCAACCATTTTAACCACACCTTTATCTAACCACATTGGTAGGTGTTCTCGAGCACGGAAGTGGTGTTGAGTTGTTATACGTATGCGCATTATCGCATACACAGGTTTTGACCTGTAATCTAATTGATCTTAATGATTCGATGTTATTTAAGAACGTTATTATTCTAAATAATATTTATTCTTCAACTGTTATAGATATAGAACCTGATGAAGTTGTTATCGAAAAGAATAGTCTTCGTTCACTAATCAGTCTTTTGAAGTTTATAATGAGCATCTTTAACCAATTGCGTCATCATAGAAACTATTTAGTTGTGGTTGAATGTGTTGTTTCATACACAGAAGTATCGATTAGTGGAATGTATTGCTGAATAAACTGAGTAATTAGATGCACCTAAAGCTCTCAGTCATAATTTTGTACTAATCAGATGTGAATAGTTTGAGTGAGCAAATTATCATCCTGTTAATGTAAAGCGAATATGATAAATAGTTCATTAAGACAAGATCAACTCAAAAAGTGAGTATCAGACAATACTGGTACATATTTAGATTTTGATTCGACACTAGTAACTAGTGTGATGTATTTAGTCCTCTCTTTGGTGCAGACTGAATTCTATCAGTCAGGTTTTAATGTGGCCACCATTCTAGGTAGCTCGCCATCACGGTGCACATTGATTTGATGATATTAGACAGTTGGAGGCAATCGGCAGAAAGCCTTGGACCTAGGTTTCGTGCTAGTTGGCACTCATCAGCCTCCAACTATCTAATATCATCAAGTCAATGTGCACCGTGATGGCGAGCTACCTAGAATGGTGGCCACATTACAACCTGACTGATAGAATTCAGTCTGCACCAAAGAGAAGACTAAATACATCACACTAGTTACTAGTGTCGAATCAAAATATCCACTACAGTTCTACAGGAGGTCAATCACGAGCCCGAATAGCTCAGTGGTAACGTCTCTGACTGCAGCACTGGGTGACGCGGGTTTGAATCTCAGGTAGGACATGAGTTCCTTCTAGGTTGCAGATACGCCTTGCTGACGAGTGCCAACTAGCACGAAACCTAGGTCCAAGGCTTCCTGCCGATTGCCTTCAACCATCTAATAACATATTTAGATTTTTGATGAACAAGCATCTGAACTCTGTGCAGCACAGAATAGTACTGGACGAAGTTAGCTAACATAATGAAGTATCGACTAGGTAAGGTAACAGTTGACTCTTCTTGAGTATACAATATTTGAATACAATTATAAGATTAACTGGTTACATATTTGGTAGGCGTAACTGGTTATACTAGAAGGCGTTTAAAGGGAAAAGATAAAAGTGACATGTCTGTCAAATCATACATACATTAAGAATTAAATTGAAGAGGTTAGCCAAATGGTGATAACTTCACGTGTAATCAATATTTTTGCCATTCATTTGCATTCTAAATGGAAATAGGACTTCAAGTTTAGAAGTTTTAGTAGAGACGATGTTTTTTTTTCTTTATGGGGTACAACTTTCAGCATCTTGTTCAACCTTCCCTCTTTCTCGGGCTTACTACCGGTTGACTAGTAAACTGAGGGAGGTTTAGGAGTTACTCTGGGGTTATTATTTCCAATTCACTCTGTTAGATTTTATAGCAATCCGATAGCAGTGGTAATTGTGACGGTATTAATTTCCATTCAACACTTGAATGCTGTTATTATCTGTCACTATTGCTAATTAATTTTGGACAGTATGTCAAGTTTTACCTATCATGTGTCTTTAAAAGTATTGCTGTATATTTCATTCAGGCTTAATGTCATTTACAGTAGTCGATTTTTTTTCCCATCATTCTTTTGTGTTCCCAGTGGAACACAGAACTTCAGTTTTGAAGCCCTGAAATGGTTTCAGTAGCATTAGTGTTGTCTCTTTTTACCAGTCTAACATTCATCTTTATATCTTTTACCGTCTTAGGGAAGTAGCTGAGGTTTAAGAGTTCCTCGGTTGAGAATCAAACGCTGGACCTAATGCTGGTTTGGTGTATTTCGCTAAAGATGTTTTCTCAACACCTTATCCACCACACTGTATTCGCTTTCTAAAGCCATGCTGTTATGTTTTACAAGTAGTTTAAGAATTCTTGTTATTTAAAATCTTCAGACAAATCTGATAATTAGTCTCCGTTCATACTATGTTGTGTGCTTAAAAGTACAATTTTCCATGATATTGTATTGTTACAAACAGAGAGTAGTTGAAAATAGATACCATTCAACCCGTATTTAATAACTGACTAGTAACACCAAACCTAGCCAAATTTTGGGTTCTCTATGTGAGTACTTCTACAAAGTTGAGTAGTACATGCCCGTGCAGATTCCATAATGAACATAGATTTCATGGGGGTAAAAGTCAATGAAACCAGTCAACTTTTTAAAAAAAATCTTTGCTTTTATATTCATACGTATTTCAGTTTTAGTACTTCTAATATTCTCGATAAACTACAGTCATTTATGAGGTTTCGAGGTTTCAAACATCTTATTTTTTTCAATTCAGAAAACACAGGTGAATCTCCACTAATATTATTCATAACTTTAACATGTGTTATCGATGAAAGTTGGTCATCTGGAATTGAATAATGATGATTGTTGGGGGCTATTACAGATTGGTTAAAGTTGTAAATGATTATTTATTGAGTAATTAACATTCTCTGTTGGTGAAGACATGTCTCACTACCCTAAGCCTCAACTTTCAGTTGATAGGTCCCGAGCTCGAATCCCTCTCCACTTAATTCAGCCTGGACAACTAGGTAGTATCACTAGTCGTTAGATGATAATTTCACCTCATTCATAGCCTGGAATATGAGTTCAAACAAGAATGTGGTGTCTTAAAGTTCTAATGGTTTTAGGTTTGATCCTTCTCTAAATTGTATTCACGAACTAGTGATGATAAAGCTTCTAGTAGAAGGAAGTCACTGCTGAAAGCTATTCAATGTTTATTAGTTCTTCAACTGAAATTATACTCTGACGAAAATTTATTTAAATTTAGTCAGTTATTCATCACAAGTCATTTTAACGTTTGTCATACTTTATTTGACTGCATTCTGCCAGTTACCATAATAGTTTAGATCTCTCCAAACTACTGAGTATATTCATGTACTTAATAAAAAGGAATTTTCTTCATAAAAGTTTTCTTCTCTTATTAGCATGTGATTTACTATAAACATAGTTTTTCTTACAGTTCATGTTGGTGTTTATCTATTCGACTGCCTTATCAATCAATGTAGATACTCTAGTGTCGTCTGTTTGTTGATTTTGTTCGTTGAAAATAAAAATTATTATTTTGAAGTCTGTCACTTAATGGCAACTATTACAGACTGTTGAACTATCGATGTAGATCCTACTGATATCAGCATTGCTATATAAATTAGGAAATGATTTTAAAATTAGTATACATTAGTAGATAATTTTGTCCATATGATGGATGGGATGTTGTTGGAGACATGACAAAACTTCTATTGAGTCTAGAGATGGATGTGAACAATCAAGTTAGGTGATTTATCTATTAGCTTCCCTTTTTTAATTTCACTTCAGTTTAACAACCACTTGCAATTCCATACATTTGGGACAATGAGCTATACCTATATTGCGTGAGAGTTAGTGATACTCTACGTGGTCGCCCAAACCTTATTAGATGCAGAGGGATTCGAACCTGGGGCACCCGTTGGTTGAAGTTCAGTGCCTAGATCAATTAGGCAAAGCTCCAGTTTCATTTCACTCCATTCACTACTGAGTTTTGATTACCTGTCTCATGTAGTCACACTAATAAATAGTTTTATCTAGTTAGTTAATAGGTTTAAACTTTCAGATTTACGTATATGTGTATAGTAAGATAAATAAATAAATTTAAAAAATTCATACTTCTCTTTCTCAATCTAAATAATTCTGCTTATCCTATTATCTTAGGTCATGGATCTGATGTTCGTAGTGTAGCATGGCATCCTATTCAATCTCTTGTTATATCCGGTAGTAAAGATGCACAACAGCCTATAAAATTATGGGATCCTAAAACCGGTGAACCTGTATCTACATTGTAAGTTTGCATTTTGTTTTAATCAATGAAAAACAAGTCATCATTATTATTATTCCCTTGGGTTCTGAGTGGAATATACAACTTCAACAGCGTATCCCTATTTTATCGTGCCCTTTGCAGTTCTTTGTAGCTGGTTCCACGGTTGCCCATAAACTTTCATCTCCTCCATATCACCCCTCGGAAACATAAATCATCGTTTTCCACTCGGATTCCCCTCGAGCAATGGCGTGCCGCGCGATTTCACTCAACGATCTCCTCAGCGTATGTCCTATCCATCTCCATTTCCTTTGGAGTATTTGTTGAGCAACCGGTTCTTGATTGGTTTGTTCCCAGAGTGTCTTGTTGCTAATTCTTTCTGGCTATTCGACCTTCAATTTAGAGCGAAGGCAACTGTTGATAAAAGTCTACACTAGCCTGTTGGAAATGCTTTTCATGATGCCCATGCCATGTTTCTGACCCAATGACTTAACATTAGTGTTAAAAATCTGAATTTTGTTCATTATGCTGAGTGCACAAGATTTCCAAACTGATTTCAGAATGATGAAGGTCTGCCTTGCCTTTCCACTTGTCGATTTGACGTCTTCATCCGTGCTGTCACCTGTAGTTGAAACAGTGCTTCCTACATAAGTGAAGGAAGTAACCTCTTTAAAATTTATTCCGTGGATAGTGATTAGACGGGTATTAATTCACTAGAAATTTTTAACGCAAAGACTATCAGAAATATTTTCACTCAATTTCATTTATCGTGTTTTACAATTTTTCGTTTTCATTCCTTCTCATTTGGAGTGTAACATAGTGCTTCAAGTTTGGCCTTTGAATTTTCAGTAGTGACGGTGGTGTATTTTTCTATGGGGTCAAGGTACCAGCCTTCTCTCTTTAGTGGGCTTACTACAGGCTAAACAAAGTTTAGTAGGGCATCGGCAAGGAGTCGAACCCCAGACCACGTATGTGATTGGCAAATGTTCCACCAGTAAACCATTGACTCACATCATGTTTTACAGTGATATCTAGTTAATATTATATATCGAAATGATCTAAAATTATTAGCATTGTACTCACCTTTTATCACTGGAATCCTTAAGATCATAACTGTTTTCATTGAAATATTCTCTTTTTTTCATAAATCTCTGCACACTGCAGTATTGGTACATCATACTTATTCTATTTCTTTTATATGTGCTTTTTGAAAATGTGTAACCTTGTATTGACACGTTCCTATGAGAAGTCCCACATTGATCCATCATTCGGTAAATCGGATACCACTGTTTCACTTGAAATCTATGAAGTTACGTGAAAAAATATGTTAATCGTCGATTGTAACGTTTGTTGACTATGAAGATAGAAAGTGAAGTGGTGAAGCGTGTTGACCACTTCACTTACTTGAGGATTTGCATCAGCCTCAACGGTTTGATTGCTCACGAAATCTCAGCTTGGACACAAAGGGCTCGTGTGGGATTTGCCAACTTACGTCATCTCTAGCGTAGACGTCATATCTGGCTGTCAATCAAACAACGCGTGTACTACACGTCAGTGCTCTCCGCTCTCCTATATGACTTGGAGACATGACCACTAAAAGTAGAAGATATGAAAAAAGATAATTACCTTTGATTATAGGCGTCTGCGTTCTATCTCGCGTGTATGATGGTATAATAGGGTGACTAATATTGAAGTTAGACGTAGTGTTAAGTAAGGGGGGTAAATCAGTTGATAAGGTTGTGAAGTTACACTGATTGAGGTGGCGAAGACATGTGTTACGCATACCTAACCATTGCCCCCTCCTTGATGGTCAGTGCTAGCTGACGTAGGGTCAGTGGTGATCAAACCTAAACTTGGAATTAGTCCATGAAATCTTTAACAGTTAGTCTGAACCACGTAGAGGAAGGTGTAGGCTTCCCGGTTAGCATCCTGAGGATGCTAAGAGCCAATGAAAACTGGAGTTCCTTTGTCTCACACCTCTGTTTACTGTCTATATTATGCATTTCTTCTACTTTCTTCTCTTGCTTTGTGTGCTACATGGAGTGTGGCGACTTGAACTGCCGCACATATGTGCAAAGTTCTATGTTGAAAAGCGACCGAATGAAAACTGGAGATAATTGGTGATATGGCTCGAAATAGTTCTCAATGGCTGGGGGAAATGCATTCACCCTTCGTGATTTGCTTAATCCAATGAAACCCCATTTTTTTTCTTCCATGTTACGATTCCTTCTCCCTCAAATTTCTACTTATTATTGTTTTGTCGAATCTCTTGTATTCTCTCCCTTTTGTCTTCCTTTGTGTGGCAACTCGGACTGCTACACTTCTGTGCCAAGGTCTATGTTGAAACTAGTCACTTAGTCATTCACTATGTCCCATGAAATAACAGTGGAGACTGTTTGTTACATGGGAACATTTCCTATTTCGTTTTCTTTTGACACATTTTATAATAATTGAAAGTATGCTTAACAATTCTCTTATTTGGAAGAAGAACAGTTAATTCATGATAAAATAATATAAATATAACAAATCTACGGGTGTTTTTTTTTGGTATATTACCTCCATTTAGGTATGCACATAAAAACACTTGTACAGATGTTTCTTGGAATGATAATGGTAATTGGTTTTTAACAGCGTCTAGAGATCATTTAATCAAATTGTTTGATTTACGTAATCTTAAAACAGAGTTACAAACATTTCGTGGTCATAAACGTGATGTAATGCGTGTTGCATGGCATCCATTCCATGAATGTTTATTTGCAAGTGGTAGTGCTGATGGAGCTATATTCTATTGGCTTGCTGGGTAAGTTTTTTTTGTTGTTGACATTTTACCGTTTAATATTTTTGTTTGAATTAATCATCTTTTTTGAAAGCATAATATGGATTTTGGGCAATCAGCTGAAAGTTATAGTTAGACGTTATTTTGAATTTTTTTGTATTGCTCTCTTAATTTCTTCACATATATGAGGTTATCAACGATGAACGTTTCATGATTTCCTAGTAGATATTGCTCTAATGCGAACTGAAGAAACTTCAGGAAGATTCCCGCATTAGCGTATAAAAGTTTCTGTAATTACAGTGACCCTACAAAAAAGTATCATGGACTAATTAAATACTACAACATTCGGCCGATTAGTAAGCAGCAGTCAGCATGATGAAATATGATTGCTAGTTATATGAATAATGTTTAGGCATTTGCAATTAAAAGTGTTCTCTGAGCTGGTTGGTTTAGTTGCGAAGCTTTCGTCGTCCTTCTGGGCAACATCTTCAGTGCTATATTTAGCACAAAGTTTAGGCATCTATCAATGTGCTGAAATCTGATTGTGTGACTATTTGGTTAATGTATAGGCATTTTTCTTGACGTCAACGTTTCATCCTCTATTGACAGAACAAAATGGTTGATCAACCTCTCATCAAGGGAACTAAGCTCTAGTGAGATAAAAGTACTTGAGAAAGGATCAAATTTCAATGTAACAGTTAGTAAATTAAAACCAGAGGATGTCATTCCTAACATAGAAGTAGCACTAAGTTCAATAGATAAGACGACAGCAAAAGTGGTTCGAGCACAATGTGCATTAACCCTGAAAAGTCAAATGAAGGCAAAATCAAACTTAACAACATCGGTAAGACTAGCTCTAATTAGTCTAAAACAGGATAAAAACATTGTCATGGCAAAAGCTGACAAGGGAAACCCTAATGTATAGGCAATCAATATTTGTATAATTTCACTTCTGATTGACAAATGATTGATCTACTCTGTAGATACACATAACAAAACCTTGGGAGCATTTTACAATCAGTGATTTACCATATATATTGGTCTCTGGGCAGTAACCAATGTCATACGTCTAGCCCTCGGGTTGGTGCAAACTGAATGCTGTCAGCCAACTTTGTACTGTTGTCACCATACTAGATGGCCTACCGTCGCGGTGAGCACTGAATTGATCTCAAATGATTGAAGCCAATCGATAGAAAGCCCTGAACCTAAATTTCGTGCTTCTTGGCACTCGTTAGCAAGGTGTATCTGCACTGTGCAAGGAACTCATATCTCTCTTGTATCGATTCAGTGCGCACCACGATGGCGAGTCACCTAGCATGGTAACCACAGTCTAAGCTTGACTGACACAATTCAGTCTGAACCAACCCATGACACTTGTTACACCCTAGTGACCGATCAAAGTATCCATTACAGTCCTACATGAGGTCAATAGTGAGCTCGAATGGCTCAGTGGTAATGTCTCTGACTGCAAGACTGGGTGGCTCAGGTTTGTATCTCAGAGAGGACATGAGTTCCTTCAAGAATGCAGAAACGCATTGCTGACTGGTGAGTGCCTACAAGCATGAAACCTAGGTACAGGGTTTTCTACCGATTGCCTGTAATCGGCTAATATATATATATATATATATATATATATATATATATCACTGAACAATACCATTAGATATCACATGATAAAATGTGTTTCATCACTTGGTACATGAAAATTCTTACATACTAATATTCAATATTTTCGTATCTATGATCTCTGTCTCTCTCTTTCTCTTATTAGAATGGATACAGAACTTGGAGCTGTAGACAATGCTCATGAAAGTATGATTTGGAGTCTTGCATGGCATCCATTCGGTCATATTTTAGTGTCTGGAGCTAATGATTTTGCTACGTAAGTAGTATATGTATATATATCCTGCAAATGTCAATTTATTTCATTCTATTTTGATTATAAGATCCAATGGATGGATTAATGGATTAAATATCAAGTATTGGTTTTGTAGGGATTTTCCTTTGTTTGATTGGATGGAGGATTTCATCATTAGCTGAAATCAGTTAGAGAACCGTTGGAAAACCTAGGAGTACTGGACAGCTGTTTCCGTCGTCCTAGTTTGGGACTCCTCAGCAGCATACACCCACCGAGGTTCGAACCCAGGACCTTCTGGTTAAAAGGTGGGCAGTTGGGTCAGTTCCTAGTGGCTTAATGGTCTACGAGCTCGCCTTGTAGCCAGAAGGTCCTGGGTTCGAACCCCGAAGTGTGGGTGTGTACTTGTGAAGAGTCGTAAACCAGGCTGACGAAACTGCTGTCCAGTACCCCTAGGTTTTCCAATGATTCTCTAACTGATGTCAGCTCATGGTGAAATCCTCCAACGGATTAAATATCATAACTTATATTTTTAGAGTAGAATACAATTCATTTAATATACGTAATTGTTCTGTAGTAAGCCAATCAACCAAATATATGTTGATATGAATAACTTTTGTGTGTGTGTATTTGTGTTATCTATCATAAGCAGACAGTTATTTCATATATTTATTTCGATTAAGATATTATATTATACTTCATTAACTTTGATCTATCCATAATAGGATTAAAGTTTTATACACAAATTACTCTTGTAATACTTGTAGTTTCTTTCATATACGTGTTAAATTGTCTATTTTTATGTAACCATTCTGCACACGTATGCATTAATTGAGAATAAGTATAAGTTACGAAACATGTTTATTTAAAAATCAATCACATTCAAACGAGTACTATCAAATAAGTAAAAGATAATCAATATGCACATATAGCTGTTAGTGTAACTTAGAACTCACTAACCCTTGTAGAACAAAGTCCTATTTCCATCAGTTGACAATTTTCTTCCTTGAAACTATCATACGGTAGTACAAATATTGCTAGGTGGACTTCGATTTGTTAGTATTGTAACGGTAGAAGACAAGAGACTTGGTAAAGGAATGTTTATTTGCAATTTGGTATCTCTATGTAGTGAAATCACCATTTGCACAGATCTCCCGTGTTCTGCTAATTTTGACCTTCGTATTGTGTTTATTTGTCTTACTTTTCAAGTCTCCCATGTTTTACTGCAACGCTGAGTATCATTTGCTTTCTTTAATGTTAAATCTATCTCTCTGCTATTAAAATTTTTTTATGTCAATGAACGTCTCTTTATATACTACTGATAAATCTTATCAGTAACACACGCCACAGTAATAGTAATTAAAACGATAATAATGATAAAAGCCTGTCTAGCATTAAGTTAGCATAGGAATTATTGTGCTGGATAAAACCATAGATAGTTCTGTCCTGCTAACAGCCACCCTTCAAAAATTAGATTATTTTAATTCGCATGTTTTAGATTCGTCCATTTGACGAACAAACTAATCATTCTTTAACTCTATTTTATGGGACGTAGTAATCGTTTCGAGGTTCATACTTTGATCCAGATCCCATGTGTGTATGTGTGTGTGTGTACAAAGCGGTCCCTGAACACACAACTTTATCGTTCAGTGTGTTGAAAATAAGGACATATTTTCGCTGTGTTCTTGTTGTATATACAATTTCTTAACGTAATAGACAGTTGCAACTAGAAGTTATGTAACAATCAATCATTGTTAATGTGGCTCTAATTAGCTTTGACTGCTTAGAGGTTGACTCGCTATTAAGATCTAGTCTCCTTGATTTAGAGGATGCAGGTAATGTAGTCCTTTTGTGTGAAGACGCGATTCTTACCTGAAAAGGTAAAAGGATGCTCCAAGACTGGTCGGCAGCGACTTTTAAAAATATAATATGAAGTGGTTGAGTGTGCTAATCACTTCAGTTATTTACGAAGTTGTATCAGTATGGATAGAAAAGAGTCGTGTGGTACTTAGCATAGACGTTATATCTGACTATCGACAGAAGGACATGTATACGCTGCAGAAGTTCAATATGTTCTTCTTTACGGTTGTGAGATGTGGCCGTTAAAAGTGAAAGACTTGAGAAGGCTAAATGTGTTTGACAAAAAGTGTTTGCATTTTATCTTCTGTGTTAAGTGATATAGTATAGTGAGTAATATTGAAGTTAGGTGTAGAAGTGCTGGGTGAAAACAGGTGGTCAGTCGGTGAGCTTGTGAGTCTGCATCGATTGAAATGGCTAGAACACGTGTTGCACATACCGAGCCGTCGCCTTCCTCTTCGAAAAATGTTAGCTGACTTGTGATTAGGTTGGAAAAGAATTGCTGGTCGTTGGACGACAACAGGGCAGCAATCCGTAGAGCCTTCAAAAGTTTGTTTAAGACATTTAGAGAGACATAGACTGTCTGGTCATGGCTCCTGCACGCTAAGATGTTGTTGATGACATAGTTCAAAATGGTTCTCATTGGCACAGACCCATTATCATCCAGATTCAATGAATATTCACAATTTTTCCTATAATTATTGTACCTGCGGCATATTTATTTTCCTTATAGTTTCTCTACCTTTATGTATACTTTTGTGAAGTGTAACAAGTTTTAGTGCTGCATTTCATGTAAATCCCTACATTGAAAATTTAATTCTATCACAAAGGCAACCATATTTTGCATAGTTCACAAATATGTATTTGTAGTAGTTGCTATTAGCTTATGTGCATGTCAAATAAAACGTAATAGAGAAGAGGATAAAGAAACAAAGATCATAGAGTTGAAAGTCGTAAGATGCTGTAGGGAAAAGGAAATAAAACTGAAAAAAAGGTAATCAGAGTCTCTCGGGTTCATATAAAACCAGCCGAACAACCTTCACGGCTGACACTAATTTATAGTGACTTGGTGTATTTGAGTCACTTCTTTGTCTCGTTGTTTCTCACTTTCTCCCACTGTAATCTAAATTGCTTAGACACAGCCTGATGTGGATGGTAATGAGTTGTCTTGAGATTGCATCCACTATCCATTTCGACGCAATCACTGATGCTTAGGTACTTAGCTCCCAGCAAGCATAAGCGTATAATGGACGTCTTGTCCAATAAAATAAATTTTCGTAAAGCCATTGCTTTGATACCTTGAAATACCACTACAGGTTTCAATTTCAAAAGTTACGTCATCAGGTCAAATGAAATAGTTACTGTCTAAATCTCAGCACAGGTAAAAAGAAAAACCGTTTTTCATTTGCTAATTTGTGTCATCTTTGATCCGGTAGATTAAGTCAGTCTATGTGGTTGTGACATCCCATCGATAAAAGTAGCTGGGACACATTTTTCGCGTACTGAACCACCTCCTCCATCGATGAGAGACGTTAGCTGAGCTATATGCAGATGTGTTTAGGTTATCTGGCTAATTTCCTTGGGGTGCTGCGGTTAAGAGTTTCTTAGCGATATATGATAAGAATCTGCTTAAAATAGTAATCATCTTATGACTCATCATGTGACTCGTCGTGTGATTGGATGACTGTAAAATTTGATCATCTTTCTCTCAACTTAATCTTGGTCAAATCGCCAATGAGTCAGAATATTTATTTCCCCTGAACCTAGTCGAATAGCCTATCAATCAGAACAATCTAATTCCACTGCCCTGAGCCGATTTTATTATGGTAAAAAATATATAAATATGACGTTCTTTTTCCTAATAAAACTGTATCCTAACAGTCTTTATCTTTTGATATTTACATCGCTCAGTGAAGCGGAAGGTACCAGAGCCGCATAGTCCTATTTAGCAAATCAGTTGAGTTGTCCATTGCCTCGGTATTATTATACCTACGCATAAGTCCACTCGGTCATATCAGTTGTCGACACGATCATATCGATTGGCGACATAGATCATAGAACAGTTTTATTGACTACTCGTCATCTTCCACATACTCTGACAGTGTCCTTTTTATCAGAGAAATAAAATACAAAGCCATACACACATGTTTCGTTTATTTATTCTGTCGTTTTTACATCCTTGTTTCTTTCTAGCCTCATTATTTTTCCTCTCTTGACCTGTGTTTGCTTACCTGAAGTACGACGATGCACTGTTGTACTTAGTTTTACATTTGTAAATTTAGTCTACATTTACACTTTTAAGTTCATGCTTATTTAGAGCATGAAACATAAGAGGATAGTTATATGGAATGCGACGCATTGAATACATGATTTGTAAACAAACATAAGTATTAACTTTTTTTTCTACCTCGCTTCTTGAATTCATTATAATTTGTAACTATTTTATTTTATCTAGATCTTTTTATTGATTTTTATTTAAACAATTTCAATGAAAAAAATAATTAACATTGAAGAGTTTCTGTGTAAAACGCACTGGTGTGTATGTACAACTTAACGACACCTTTAACCACCTTATACTAGGTGGATATGTCGGTTCCACGTTACGTTTGGCTAGTTGATTTTAACAGGAAATTTAACCCTTTGTGTTCCGGTGTGCATTGTAGATAGATGATGGTTCACTGGCTTAAGTGGGTCGACTTTCAGTCAGTAGGTCTAGGAATCGAACTTCATTCCGCCTAATTCATCCTGAGCCTTTATAAAATAATGGTGTATTTCACACCTTTGGAATGTGAAAGAAATGCTTCGGCAACTGAGTTCTGTATTTCTAGTAACCTACACCATACAAAATGGTTGTAATATTATGCGTCACGAATACTGTGTTACAACTACTTTGAAGCTGTGGTCATAGTAATTAGTTCCCTTAGATTATTTTAGTGTAATCTTCCCTATTTTTTTCTGAAAACATGTTTGTGATTGTTAGGTTTCCTTACATAATAGTACTGTGTCATTGATTTCCATTGGACACCCGTAACTAGTGTCCAATCAAAATATCCACTACAGTCCTACAGGAGGTCAATCGCGAGCCCGAATGGCTCAGTGGTATACGCCTTGACGACGAGTGCCAACTAGCTCGAAACCTAGGACAGAGGCCTCCTGCCGATCGCCTCCAACCATCTAATACCGTGTCAGTGTTTATCAATTTTTATGACCACTAGAATGATTACTAGTAGTAGCTGTCTATTCTACTCAAAGTTGTGCATATGCTTATATATGAGTCTACATACGATGTTTTCCTGACCAATTAGTGACAATACTGGAAATAGTTACTATCATAATTTCATCTGCTTTCAATAGTCTGTATTGACTCCTCGTCTTCCACCATATATGATAGAAAAATTTTTCGTAGTCCAAGATTTAAGCAGGCCGTCAGATAAATGTCTTCATTTGATTGTTTACATTAAGTCCAACAACTTGAAGGTAATTTTTTTTTATCAGAAATTGGTTTAGGGAGGGGAAAGCGAAGAAACAGTTAAGGCTGTGAATTTTTACTGATTGTGGTGCCTAGAACAGGTGTAAGGTGTAGGTTTAACCACTACCTTCCTAGACGAGCAATGTTAACTAAGTTAGAATTACCTCAGGAAACAGTTAGGGATAGAATAAAACATAGTACTAATCCTTAAACTCATTAACTGTTGAACTATGCTACACAAGAAGTTATAGGTTGTTGTCTAAGGTTTTCTAAATGCTTAGATAATCGTTCACAATGGTGACATGCATACTCACAGAAATTTTGAACGCCTTCAATTGTGCTCACTGAAATATTTCTCGCTATGGTTTTATTTCTGCTTTTCTTCAAAGTGTAGCAGCTTGAACTTGTCCAATATGCTTACTTTATTTTGTCAATAATCACAAAGTGAAGTAACTCAAATATGCTTCATCTACCTGTTGGTGTTTTATATTTCGCCATCTTATTGGTCTAACGTTAGTTACATTTTTTTGAGGTGAATCATTCAAATTCAGACTTTTGACCAATATTTACTGGTGAATTTCATAATCATCTTTCTTATTCTGGCCTTATTGACTGAGTGGTCATGAACAAAAGGTGGTTGTCAGTCTAAAAAGTCTATACACGTACCTAGTTACTAAGATGCACAAACATTAACAATCACATCTACCTAAGGCTATTGGTTGTTATTTTTTCATTCCTTTGCGTGCTGAATGGAACATTGGGCTTTAAGCTTTGAAGTTTCAGTAACATTTGTTTTTCACAGGGTGAGATTGCTAGCGCGTGACGCTCAATCTTCCCTGTTTTCCTGGTTTACCCTGGACTCGGCAAAGTTTAGGAGTGTGTCGGCCATGTGCTTGGTTGGTGGGCATTCTACCCCTGATCCATTGACGCACCTAAGGTTTACCTCTGGTGTCTGCATCATCTGAGTCCTAGATATACTGCATTCTTCTCTATTCTTTCTAAAAATACATCAGAATTATTCTTGAAATAGGGTGAACACAACACTATATTTTTGACGTGTTTCTGTGTTCTACACATAATTGCAATACTTACTGATTACGTAAATTTATTTATTTTTCTTATAGAAAATTCTGGACACGCAATCGACCTGGTGATGTACTTAAAGATCCAATTAGTGCAGTTGGTGCAGAAAATATTATTCAGTCGACTGGTACAACTAATTTATTTGGCGATACAGATATTATTGACAATTCATTTAATATTGATTTACTTAAAGTGCTTGCAGATGCACCAAATCTATCAAACTCCTCCAGTCGAATAGATACACTTGATGATGTTGCATTTGCTACTATACCAAATGATGAATTGAATTCACTTGAAATACCAGGACTTAATGAAGGCCCAGTAACCGATTTAAATGCCCCGGATACTGATGATGCTGATGAACGGGAGAAAAATAAACTACGTAATATTAGAACTATACCTAAAGAATTTGCTGCTAACTGGGCGAGTACACGAATCACAACAGCAATGCCAAGTGTAATGATGCCTACACCGAATCCAACAGCAATAGCCGCAGCTGCAGCAGCAGTCGCTGCTGTTAACAGTCTGAACGCTACACCTCAATACTTACCACCTGTTAAACCTCCAGCTTTAAATAAAGAAAGATTAAATCAAAAGTCTGTACCAACAAATAATTCTGCAAAAACAACAGAACTAAATGTAGACACGAATCAAGGTATGGAAAACAGCAGTACTAATGATCCTCCAAACAACCAAATACAACTGTTTGACGAACAACAAAAACAACAACAGCCCCCTGTGAATGAGATGATGATCAATGGTACTCCAAATCATCATCATCAACACGATCAGTCACATTTCTCGGATTCAATACCGCAAAAAAGTATGGAGCAAAATCCACCTCTCCCAGAAAAAAATGTAGATATACGAAGTAACTTAAGTAAGTACCTCAGGTGACTAATTTTTTTTATTAAATGGCTATAAAAGTAAATATTGACCGAACAAAGGATTAGACGTGTGACAATACCTTATGTCCAATCAGAATACTTATTTAATATAGTCTCACAGAATGTTAATTGTGGGCATGAATATTTCAGTGGTAATGTCTCCAACTGCAGCACTGAGTGACGCTGGTTCAAATATCAGAAGGGACATGAGGTTCTTCCAGATCACGATACGCCTTGCCGACGAATACCAACACAAAACCTAGGTCAAGCAAGGTTCCCTGCGACCGACCATCGAAATGTAGACTAAAAATCACATTTATAGTTTGCAAATCACGCAGTTCAAGGAAGTAATCATTTTTCACAACCGTTTCCTTTAGAAACCGAAATTATTCAGATCACAATGCATGTGGTCCTTTTGAAACCATTAAATAGGTAATTAAGAAATCAAGCTTAATTGCATGAAACTACATACTATTGGTTGATTGAGATGAGAAGTTATATACCACTCACATCAACCTGTGGTGCTTGCTAACCAGACCGAAGTGAATCTAAACACTAACCGTTACCTGAAACTCTCGGGTTCGATCCACAATGAAGTGATATAGGCGCGTACTACTGAGAAGTCTCAAACTAAGGGTTTCATATGATCCTCAAAATGATGTCAATTTGCGGTCATTATACTGGGACTAATCAAATCCCTGTGCAACAATACTTGAAGATCACAGATTGTTACCCATAATAGTTTTGGCTTCCATAGAAATTCACCTTGGATTCTTATCTCGAACTGAATATTTCGCAAACTGTGAAACTTATTCCGTATTCTACCAGTTCATTCGAGTAGCCAGCCGAAATGCGGGTGGTTTCGGACACTGATTCTCCTCGGTGTTGTTCTTAGTCAAATCGAATACACGACTGGTGAGCTTAACCCCCAGACGTGCGAAACAGCCATGTGGCGGCAAACAACCACTCCTCATCTCGACCAATCAGTAGTATATACGTTTATGTAATTAAATGTAGACTACTTCGCGCTTATTATTGCATGGTTACGGTGAGTATAAAATTACTAGGACGAAAATTCCTGGTGAAAATAGCATTCTCATTTCTTTTATTTTCATTTGACTGCTACAATAAAAATACACTAGAATTGGCCAGGCTACATGCTGTTTTGTTCTATAAAGTTGCGTAATTACGCAAAATTTTGTTTCCTTATCAAAATTGTTATGTAAGATGTTTGAATATCAGTTGTAAAAAGTGGGGACATTTTTAGCTAGAACATAAATGTATTGATTGTTTTTATGTAGCATTAGATGTCGTTGTAATGTTTAAAAGAAAATACATTCATAACCAACAAATCGAGAGACACTGTCAATAACCTATTACGATCGTTATGCAGATTCCAGTTCCTAATAGTTGTCAGCAAATTTGATGCAAAGCAATCAGTGTGGATCTTGCAATTCATCTCTACTAATAATAACCTCGAATTACGTATATCTCGTTTCTTCATTTTAGATCCACCAGTTGATTGGAATCAGCGAACTGAAGAACCTCCGCAGGCTGAACATAATATACCACCACATAAAGGACAGCCGAACAATTTATATCGCGAACCGTTTAGTGAACCTCCACAACCATATGTTAACCAAGAACGTTTTGTAGATCCGAAACCATTTCCTAAACACAAAGAAGATAGAGACTATAGGGATTATGAACGTGGTGAACAATACAATCGACCAGTCCCTCCAAATGATCCTTACTATAACGGACCTCCTAGTAATTATGCTAGTGGTCCATCTCATGGACCCATGGGTCGCAACGCTCCTCCTAATGAGCAAATGCATCCGGGAGAAAGAGGTCGACCGTATTCTCCAGGCATGGACAGACATCCATATGATCGGAGAGGCGACAGACCTCCACCACCAGTGAGACAGAACTATGATGATGACAACTGGAATAGACGATGGCCAGATAATAGAAAGGCACCTGACAGGTATGACTACCCACGTGGACCACCACCACCACCACCTAGATGTCCTCCACGAGAACCTAGACCACAACATCCAGATTTCTTTCCAGATGCTCATCATCCACCACCACCTCCTCCTCCTAATCATATTCCTCCACAAAAACGCCCGCACCCTCCAGGGCCTGGTGGCCAACCCCCTGATCATATGAGAAAATACCCTCGACAGGATCATCCCCGGAATAAACCACCGTGGACTGGACATAGTCGGTGGTAGTTAGATATTATCACATCCTTTTGTACAGTCTGAACAGCAGAAATGCTGTATTTCCCTATTCACATATTTCTACATCATTAATAAATGTTTTATACTGAGTAACTTTATGTATATTATCATTTGAAACTACAGAAAAAAATCTAAAATTCCTAATATATCCACAGTCTGAAGGCAAATTTTATGCACAGAGTGTGAAGATGTATTTATGAAATAAATTACCTTATGATGTCTCACTGACTGTTTTTAACATAGAACTTTCCTCAGAAATGCAGCAGTTAGCACATAAAGGGAAGACAAAAAAATTTGAAAGAACGTTAACAAGCAGAAATATTAGGAAGCAATAATAGTAATATGGAAAAACGTGACGGTTTAATAGACATAGGAGATCACAAAAAGAGTTAATACATCTCGAATAATCTCTAGCCATTAATTCCTGACATTCCGAGGACCTCAACTAGAAGGTGTACACCGCCTCACATGGCTCAAACTAACTGTCAAGGCCTTCATGAACTGGCTCCAGATTTGGGTTCGACCACCCTTTTACAATATCTGTTAACATTGCTCGTCTAGGAAGGCTATGACTCAGAGTGCACAACATGTGTCTTAGCCATCTCAATCGATGTGGCTTCATAACCTCAACGATTGATTTACCCTCCTTTACACAACAATATGCCTAACTTCAATATTACTCATCCTATTATGCTATCTAACACGGGTGATGAAACACAGGCAACTTTGATCAAAGACCGCTAGTCATATTTTCCACTTTCAATAGCTATGTCTCACAGCTATAAAGGAGGACAGAGCGAATTTCTGCGCAGTACACGCGTCCTGCAAAAGGTAGTGGGATATGACGTCTACGCCAGAGATAACATAAGTTAGCAAATGTCAATGAGTGGATTAAAGGGCACTGATTGTTCCTGAACATGGACATAATATACATTGAGTGAAGCCAACAAAAGAACATCTACTCTGACTTCTGTACAGCTGAGCAATAATGGTTCGCATATGCGTAAATTCAAGATAGTAAGAGTGTTTCAGCTATCAGTTCGAAGTAAGTCATCCAAAATTATGTTTGATCGGTGACAGAATTTCATACTGAGATCCTGTTTAAAGATTATTTGCAATATAAGTGAGTGTCTCACTAACGGTTATGGCATCATTGTATGACAGTCGGTACCATCCGACACTGGGATTAGTACGACTCTTACAATTAGGCTGACTACAGTCGTTGCGGAGATACAGCTTTCTATACATTAATTGAAACTCACATCGTTTCACATGGTAAACATGACTAAGTTATGAGTAAAAACGCTCGAAAACTCTACGCTTAACTCTGTGAACCTTACAAAAAGTACATTCAACTCGGCGATAATGTGTCACTTCACGTCAGGATATCTGATGCTTTGCAGTTTAAGAAAGGTACTTATAATCAATTGTTTTAGCCTTCGAGTCACTATTGAAGGGTTTCAAACTCGGAAGAACCAATTACCCAACACTCCCTGGTTTTCAGTGAAGCACGAAACCTAGTTCCCAGAGTTTCTTCCGATTGCCTTCAACTATCTGATAACAGCAATGAAGATTTGCTAAAATATCCATCATTCTACTAAACTACATCTCAATACTATCCATAGATCAACTAGAATCAGTTCAGTCGTAAGGATCATATAAGCAGTCAGCGCACATGAGTAATACGGAGATGCCGATAGTCACAAGAATTTACTACAGGTATTTAACTTCTTTTCAGTTAGCGTTCTGATGCCTAAAAATGACACAAGATTATATTTATACAATGAAGAACAAGAAGAAATTAATATGCAAACATCTATTTCAAACGATAACAGTAATAATTACAATAAATATTATCTAGTAGTTATGGAATCACAGAATATTAGCCATCCAAACATAGGCTACTTCTCCTCTATGAGATATTTTGTATGACTTCCACGTGCAATAAGTTCTCCGGACTCTTCGTCCATGAACTTGACTTCACAGAATGCTAAACGTTTACCTGTCTTTAGCACAAAAGAATTCGATACTATCCACGAGTCTAGTTTTCCTGGACTAATAAATCTTCAAAGCAAAAGTTTGTTATGTATTTGTGACTTACGATGTTTCAAGATTTACACTCACATGTTTCGTATGTCCTAGTCTTATTAAATCAACTGTAGAAATAAAATCAACAGCTCCAAGGATAAAGCCACCATGCAAAGTGTTTAGTGAATTAGCTTCAGATTTGTTCACCTTGAATCGACACGTTAAACACTTGTCTGTTACTGAAACAGCTTGAATGCCTTTGAAAATTCGGTTAAATGAAGCATCACTTGTCATTTGAGTGATAATACGATTTACAGTACTGAGTGCCGTCTAAAATGCAAGTGTATTAATCGTGAGTTATTTATGAAGAAAAACAGTTAAGCCTATCCTGCTATCCTAAATTATTTTTGAAAATTCATCAATGATAGACAGTTCTCACTTAGTGATGTGTAGAAATAAATTATACTTAACTATTACGATTATCTTAGTCTGAAAGAGACAAGAAAAGTAGCACAATTTGTGAATTAAACTTCATTTTAAGCAAACTCACGTTTAATTTGCAGTGCCAATAGGCCTTCATTCACACACGAACAGCAACCTTAATATTATTAAAAGAAGTTACGTAACTCGTAATGCTGAAATTCATATCTGACAAAACTTTCAGCTTAACAGACATTATGTTAAGGTGGATTTCTATTGTAATAAAATGTGTGCAAAACTAAGAGACAGTAAAAACGATAAAAAATGTATGAGTATTAGAATCTGAGAAATATTCTCAGCCCAGGTGATCCAACTTTTTTTATGGTAATTCACTCTATTCGGCTGGATAGTTTTATTGTTTATATGTTGACTACTAGAGACTTGTTCATAATTTTCAGTTATTCATTGCATTGTGCTTACATTAGTGAATTAGCTGCTTTCGACAAACACGAAAAAATCATCAAACATATTTATTAGGTCACTGATTATCGTTACAATTAATTTAAGTGTTAATAGACTCCTGAGTGAGGTTTGTAGTAGAGTAAAGGTTGAATTGTGAATAAAGTTAAGTGACGTGAATTAAAAACCAAGCAAAAGAAAAATGTCATGTGATTCCACATCTTTTTCCTCATTCCTTCTTGATTTTATACCTTCAGGTGGCATTCACTTCAATGATACAATGATTATTTTCATAACCTTCGTAAGGGTAATCCACATGCAAAGAGACGATGGGCTATTTAGTCAAAGCAGATCATTAACAAAAGAAAATGCATGTGTGAATTGAGATCAACATCTGTCCATATTTGGAAGAAAAGGCATTTTGATTTCACTGAACATTAGAAAGACTACAAGAAAGGCTTAACAATTTCGAGCATTCAACATCTTTTATTCGAGAGTAAAGTGAACTGTCAGTAAAGTGTAATTTTGGCGGTTGGTGATTAGCAGTGAAATCTAGGATGTGCATTTCTTCTTTATTTGAGACTCGCCAGATGGATGTGACGGTTTTTCTCTGGGGCTCAAATCCAGTACTCATAGTTTTAAACGTCATCCACTTAGGCAACGAGAGCCGGTTCTTGTACAAAGGGCACCAATTGTTATTTAATTCAGCCTGGATCTTCCGGTTGATTGATCGGATCAAAGTGTTTGGTTTTTGTTGATATGTCAGCAGGTACATCTAGATGGCGAGCCCCAAAAAGGACGAAGTGTGCATCCTGGATTAAACTGCTAGTTACCCACCTGTCTGTTTTCGACATAGAACTTTGCACCGATGTGCGGCAGTTCAAGTCGCCACACTCCATGTAGCACACAAAGCAAGAGAAGAAATGCATAATATAGACAGTAAACAGAGGTGTGAGACAAAAGAATAGTAATAACGAAGAACAAAACATTTAATTGGTGGATGGTGACTAGCAGTGGAATCCAGGATGCACACTAGTGGTCTAGTGGATAACGCTTTGGCGTTGGAAACTATGGGCACTGCGTTCGAGCCTCGGTGGGAACATCATCACTCACTGAGAAATGCAGGTACATCCAGATGACGAGTCCCAAACTGGACGAAATGCGCGTCCTGGATTCCACTGCTAGTAACCATTCACCAATTAAATACTAATTAAATGCCCAGACATCGTAGAAGCATCTGTTCAAGAAACCGACATGTCAACCTGAGACCGAGCACTTCGGTCCAATCAATCGACGGGAAAAATCTAAAATTCAATTAAAAGAAGAACAAGACAGTTCCATTGGAAATCATAAGCCACAAGGAGTGGATGCATCTGCGCCATTGGGAACGATTTTGAGCCATGTCACCAATGGTTTCCAACCACTGGTTTTTACCGTCCCGAGGACCCCAACCAGGTAGTCTACACCTTAATAAGTGGCTTAAACTAACTGTTGTGGATTACATTGACTGATGCTATGTTTTGGTTTGACTGCCGCTAGCTCTTTCCCAGTCTGATCCTATGTCAGCTAACCCACCACCGAAACTATGTCAAGTTAAAAACATCAGACATCGTCGTACAAGGAACCGACATGTCAACAGAGGTCGAACACTTCGATCCAATCAGTCAACGGTGAAATCTAAATTGAATCAAAAGTTTTGCTAAATGATTTCAAGGGTATCTATCGAATGCATTTCATAGATCCTAAACACTGAAAAAAAAATTAAATTTACGAAACTTTAATGACCACACTAATTCAATTGTTTCACAGAACAGACTAATCATGAACGAAATTATAAGCAAAACTTAATGTATTACGGCTACAGATGCTACAGAGGTGACTAGGCTAGAATATGTTGAGAGAAATTTGGAAACCTGGACCCACTTCCTGGAGATCGAGTGCTTCAGTCAGTTAGTCACAAATGCAAAAATACAGAAACAATTTCATTTCATATTTTGTACTTCAAGAGTGCAGTAAATCTTTTCATTCAGTAGCAATAGGCGATAATGCGACACTACGTAGTTCGAAAAGAATACTACTTATGAAGTCATTTATGTCATTGCTGTAGCAGGAGTAAACGACTCTGAGGTCGCCAGCGTATAGGAATAGTTTACCTGATGTGCAGCAGTTATATAGCTGTTAATAGAGACTGTAAATAGAAGTGGTTATAGAACGCAACCCTGTACAACCCTTCTTGTAATCTGCCTAGGGTGAGACAACACAGATTCGACTTTAGTTATTTGTACCCTATCGCTTAGAAGTGACTTTAACCAGTTAAGTAATGAATTACGAATTCCACAGGAGTACAGTTCCTCAAAGAGAACACTGTAATATGCTATGTCAAACGCCCTCGAAATATCGATGTAGAGAACAATGAATAGTTTGCGTGCTCCAACTTATTGTGTGAGGTGTTTTTAAAATGATTTCCGGTATATTTATCTAACAGACTTTGTTAATCCTCACAAGTGAAAATCAAAGATACGATGATTCTTCCACCTTCTAAATTTAAGTACGAATTACTACGTTTCAGATTATCAAGGATGTCCACCTAGAATATTATGTGCACTCACAATCATAGTCCATCGCAAATCCACATATTAAATGAAAGCCGTAATTATTCTCATCATTGATGGAGCGACGACAACAAATTAATCAGGTACCACGCCATCAGAAACATTTTATGTGAGTGCCAATAATACTACGCAGGCTATTAGGATTCAGTGTGTTTTGCAGGATTTAAATCAGGACATACCGACTGGGAATGCAATGCTTGAGCTGACGACTCATAAATGCAAGGACGATGAGCGAGCTAAATTTCCTATTCCTGACTGCATCAAAACACTTCCATCGATATCAATCTATTCGAGGAAATGTATAAAATCACCATGATCGAAATATACAACCATCTCAAATGACAATTTATGCGGGGGGGGGAGAATACTTATGATAGAAACAGTATAAATATTTTCACACGCTAAGGACTAAACTATTAAAATTGCCCATCACTGTATTCTTCTAAGGCCGACTAACCCAAAATGGAGTGAAAACAATTTCCATAAACGGAAAGATTTTCCAAACTATCTGTCCGATAAAATCAGATTTCCCAACACTGCTGCTTCTTACATGGCACACCTGTGGTGAGAGGTCGGTGCAAGCAAAAATTGTAGACAAAAATTTATGTCAATGTTGATGTCGCGGATCAGAGCATGAGAAAAACAATAACAAAGCTCAGTCTCGAGAAAAACACCAACTAATCAGAGCGGAGTTAAGGCGTAGAAACGTGATACCCAGATTAATGACTCGATCTTCTGACAAACGACCACAAATAGATAACAGAACAAATTACAGCAAATAAACAACAATTGACAGGACGTTGATTCCCGTTAACAATAAAATACAGAGAAATCTAAAAATTCCCCCATTTACCCAGGTGTGCATTATGTCCCATTCACATATGTTCACACAAAATGTGAGGAACTTCTTTCAAAGAGTAAAACATCGAATAAAGCCGACAAAAAAAGGAAACACCGAAGAATATTCCTAATACTGTTGAATTGTAGGTAGCATAACTTTACTCTCAAAATCTCGTGCCCAATACGTCAATTGAGTTCTTCCAACCTAAGTTTTCTATGGAAACCCTCATGAAATACAACAAAAAGAACACAGAAGAAAGTCCTCACATTTAAAAGTTAGAATATCAATAAAAGTAAACCGACAATTTCGGTATTTTCCGTGATACACTAACAAAGACAGACACACGCACTTATACACATACATTTACGAGGGTGGCCAATGGCATTCAAATACAGTCAAACGCATAAACTAACCTATAATCTGTTATTGTCACTTCGACGATGATAATATATGGGGCCAATTTACTTCCTATTAATGTCACACATGCAACTAAAAATGCCCTGAGAGAATAAATAAACCAACCTGTGTGACTCATTCATCCACAAATAAATTTTTTATGTGGGTTGAAGCTTATTGACCAGTCACTAGAGTCGATGAAAACATCAGTGGTCAATGTTAATTGTTGCGTCACATTTTGTTCATGTGAATTCAAGTCATCCAGTACGCGCTCACTTTAAAACGACACCATGCAGGTAAGTGATCGATGCAGTACCTTGTAGCGTTTTCCTAGCTCTTATTGCCCTTGGTGACTCTAAACTATAGCAGCCCTACCTAGCGAACGGATAAATGATATTGACAACGACAACGTTCACCAATCAGACGCGTCTATGGTAAAAGCGCATAATTTGTATAAAACGTTTGTGCTAAAAAATAGTTACAAAGGCTAACGTTCTCGTATATTTCCCAAAAAAACTCCCAATTTCTCATAGGAGTCTTCATAGTTATGTTAAACCAAGCCCTGTACATAAATTCATCGAGATAACTGTATATCATTGTAT